CCCATCTGAAACCCAAGACATGCCATTTCATTGTCTGCTAACATTTCTATTGTTCACTGTTGTGTATTTCCCTATTCTGCATGTTCCTGTTGTATCTGGTATGTGTTTGTGGGTTGGGTTTTTTTTGTGCACTTCTGCTCTCTAAAGTCCTATGGATACTTCTTATTTTTTCTTCGCTTTCTTGTACGGTCTTTGCATAATTCTGGCTGTTCTACGTTACTGTAGATTTTTTTTTTTTTTTTTTTTCTTTCTTTCTTTTCCCCTCTCTCTCTCTCGCTCCCTTCCTTGTGCCCGCCTGTTTGTAATCCTTCGGGCTCCTTCTGGCAACAGAAAGCTTAAAAAAAAAAAAACCACAACAAAACAACAAAAAAAAAACAACCCACCAAACGCACACACCACACAGAAACCCCCAAAAAACTTTCTTTCCCCCCCCTCCCCCGCCCCATCAATGTCCCCTTTTAATTTTCTCAAGCCATCTTGGGGGGGGGAGGGAAGGGGGAAGGAGAGGAGAGGGGGAAAAAAAAAGAAAAAGCTCCGAATATTTCCTTTTTCTTCTCCTCTCCCCTCCCACCTTCACGCTTCCCCCTCTTAAAAAAAGAGCCGAATAGGGTTCTTCTGCTTGTTTTTTTGTTGTTGTTGGTTTTTTTTTTTAATTGCTTTCCTTATTATTACTGAAGAAGGAGGAAAAAGAGGAGCGTTCCCAGCGGCTGGACGGAGGCAAAGTTGTCTCAGGCGGCAGCGGCGAGGCCGGTGGCAGCAACTTTGATCCCCGCCGAGGGGACGCCCTCACCTCCGGAGGAGAGCGCTTGCAGCGGACAGGTCGCTGCCCCGGCCCGGGCGGGCTCCGCAGGTGGTAAGGAACGGGGTAAGGAGCGGGGTGTGTGTGAAGCCGGGGAGGGGGGTACGGTAAGGCACGGTAGGGGCACCGCACCCGGTACCGGCGGGCGGGCCGCCCCGCGCTCCCCCTACCTGCTGCGGGGCGGCCGGCAGCCTGCTACGGCTCCTGCCTCCTCCTCCTCCTCCTCCTCCTCGTCCCTTCCTCTCTCGCCTCCCGTTATCCACCTGCCTCTCCCGGTAAAAGGAGGCGGGCGGCCGGTGTGCGGGGCAGGGGTGAGGGAGAGCCCGCCGGCGGGGGATGCGCGGGGAGGGCTGTCCCCGCCGTGCGCCTCTGCCTTCCCCAACGGAGTCAGTCAGCGCTTGCCGGGCTCCCAAACAGGCTTTCCGCCGCCTGGAAAGCAAAAATAAAAAAAAAAAAAAAAAAAAAAAAAAAAAAATGGTCGGGGATGCCTTAAAGCCCCGGAGGGCGCCCGGAGAAACCTTGGAAGTCGGTGCCTTTCAAGTTGGGAAAAACGTTGAAATTGAGGCAGTTTGACAAAATGGAGGGCTGCCGAGGAGCCCAGGAGCCAGGCAAATTGCAAATTGTTAACCTGGTGTCACGCTGGCCTCAGCTCCCAACTCCCTGGCCGGTGCCGGGACGCGGCCTGACAGATACCCACCGTCTCCTGACTTGATTTTTAAAATAATTTATTTATTCCCCCCCCCCCTCAGCTCCTCATCCCACACGCTTCTCCATCAGTGCCTGCCGAACAAGGTGCATGGGATGTGCCTGTCGCAAAGCCTGACCAATGGTAGGATTCTTCAGCTGCCAAAAAAACATCTGGTTAGATGTCAGATGGGAAGCTGCTTTGGTTTTTTTTAGGTGGTTGTTTTTTGGTTGTGTTTGTTTGTTTTTTTTTTTAAGAAAACCCAGGAAAATGTACTTTCTTTTGCTGGTGTTTCAGGTGGTTGAAGTAGAAAATTGATCTTTCGGTTTTTCTTCAAGTGAAGGGTGTAGTCATAGCGAGCTGTTATTGTGTCTGACCTATGACTAACTTTTTTTTTTTTTTTGTTCAAACATTCGGTGTATACCCAGCAGAATAAATAAATCTGTGCTCGTTTTGAAAGCTAAAAGCAAACTGAACTGTTTCTCCTCGCAAGGATGCGTGTCGGGGTTCTTAAAAGAAAAAAACCCCAACCCAAACCCCAAAATGATTTTGTAATCCTTGCTTTGAGATTTATGCTATTCCTGGCAGTGTGTGGTTTGGTAGATACAGAGTTTACAAAGTCACAACTGACCAAACAGGAGTTGGTTTAGACCCCTGTGTTTTGAGGGGAGGTGGAAAAATAGTAAGTCTTATTTTCTTTTTATGGTGTTCATCCCACTGCCCATTGGAGATTGAAGCATTCATCACAGTTGTTTATGTTGGTTGTCTGGGGGTTTCTATTTGAATGTGAGCAAGTATGCAACGGGAGGGGGGGTGTACGTGTATTTTTAGCTTTAATTTTTAATGACAAATGATACAAAGAATAGCGATATTCAAAAGTAAATCCTGCATTTACTGAGCATGCTTATTAATATTTTTAGGAAGGAACCTATAAAGAATGTCAGAGGTGTAATAAATTCTAGTTATTATGCTTGTTTAATACAATAGTGCTTCAGTATATCTTACTACACAATTTCAGAGCCCCTTTTCAAATGAACAAAGAAGTAAAAGCAGCGGAGAAGGTGCCAGTTCCTGTGCTAATTAGAGGTGGTGGCTGCAAAATGCTGTATGGTTCAATACATGTGCAAAGGTCCAGAAAGACCAACCAAGCATTTTAAAACATGACACGTTGTATAAAGGTACATAAATACCTTCCTGCTCCTGTACATCTGGTTTTGTTAGCTACCTAGGCTGATAAAATGGAACAAAAACCACACCAGAAAAACTTCTGTAGGAGAAAGCGAGCTCGATTTATCTTTGCTTTCTGTAAATTGCAGGCTCTTCTTTAAGCGAAGCAGCCAGCCCGGCGAGGATGTTTGCTTTTAGCTAGAATAGCTGCAACCCTCCATAGGAACGGTATCGGCAGAAGCTGTGCAGGAATGTGTTAAATGGATTTCGCTGGGAGCTGCGTCTCCCAAGCCCAGCGCCAGCTCCTCTGGGGTCCTGCCAGCCCTCAGCCCGTGGGAGGAGTTGCCGTTGTATCTGCCATGTGCCTGTGCACCTTCCTTGGCAAAACCACTCTGCCCCGGGAGTCCCGTCCCTCCGTCTGCGCAGTGAGTTGTAGGGAGACACCGGAGCCTGGATGGTGGGACGGGTAGGCCGCTCCTCTGCCTTTCAGATAAGTAATTCGTGTAGGCCGTAAGAAGCCCACGGAAGGCAAAGGCAGGCTCTCTTTCTAGACCTCTGTAAGAAGTGCTGAGTAGGCCAATCAGCCATTGATTTCTGTTACTCGCCTTGGTCAAAAGACCACTTGAAAAAGCGAGCTCCGCTCCAAGGCGCTGTGCAGTAAGCGCTGTGTGCGGGGCAAGGGCCTCGCTCGGTCGCCTGCCTTCTCCAAGTTCGATGCCTTAATCCCCAGACCTATTCAGGAATATTCACTGTCTCCAAAATACAAACCTTCCAAGAAATACAGTAAGGGCAGTTGAAGCGTTTTTTTTCCCCTCAAGAAAAACGGGGCAGAGTGGTAGCTTTCACTTTATACTATGGCTGTTGAATATTCTAGGACTTTATTTTTTGTTGCTTTCCTGACTGCTCTTACAGAAAAGAATCATGGATCTTCTTCAAGTGCTGACAATCCTTAATAGCCAGATGGTGTAGAGTAGTTACTGTCAAAGGATGAGCTGTGGAAGGATTGGCACATCCCTTCCTCTTTCTTTTCGGCTTTTGTTTCACCCCTAGGAAGAAACCCAGGTTTGGCCTGTGAATCCTGTCAGTCTGTCTCTACAGATTTGCTGTTATGCCCATCAAATGACTAAATGTTTCTTGCAATCTTATCCATAGTTGTGTAATGGTATGTCCGTGATTATTTAGGAAGAATTACCAAGAAGGTGATTTCCTGAGGGTAACAGGGAAGTGGCCGTGCCCCTGAAGTGTTGAATGGTACGTTCATTTTCCCTGCAGTTTCTTAGGGGTTGCGTCCAGATTTAGGGTAGTGACATGAAGGGCATCCGTAGAATATTTTAAATATATCTACATATCATATCAATGGTGTCCCCCTCCATAAACAAAGGGCAATGTGGCATTCTTTAGGGCTGTCAGTTGCACATGTGGCCTCGGCCTTCATAGAATCACAGAATTGCCCAGGCCGGAAGGGACCTCCAAAGGCCATCTAGTCCAACCTCCCCGCAGTCAGCAGGGACACCCCCAACTAGACCAGGTTGCCCAGGGCCTCGTCGAGCCTCTCCTTGAATATCTCCAGGGATGGGGCCTCAACCACCTCCCTGGGCAACCTGTTCCAGTGCTCCACCACCCTCACAGTGAAGAACCCTCTCCTCATCTCCAGTCTAAATCTGTTCCCCTCCAGCTTGAAGCCATTCACGTGAAGGCAAAGCAAACACTGAGACTTCAGGCTACGTCCTAGTCGTTACTTGGGGGACCCTGTCCTCAGGGGGTTTCTTTACCATTAGCTACTGAAGCTAATCGAGATGAAAGAGGTTGTGGAGCAGGGCTGGAGGCTGAGGTGCGCTGTGCCACGGCGGTGTCACTGCTGGCTGAAGGCGGCTGTGGGAACAGGGAAGTTCCCATCACCACTTCTCTCCTTTGGCAGATCAGTATTAGCTTGGTAGCTCCAAATAAGAAATCTCCGTTACGGTTGTTCTGTAACTTCCCATAACACCTGAAGGAGGCCCAAAATACGCATTAATGGTAAAGTTTGGCATCTTAACTATTGGGTTTGCGTAGTTTTAATGGGAGCAGCTCTGGGTTTGCTCATGGAGGGGGCCTGTTGGCAGCGATCACGGTCTCCAGTGGAGATGATGTTGGCCACCAGTGAATTACTATTCCTCAGCGATCAAAGAAAATCTGCGTCTGGGGTGTGTGTATGGAGGACGAGAGGGAAGATGGGCGTGAGTTCAAGGCCTTGTGTTTCCTTTTGCTGCGCTATGTGGTCTGCTGCTGAGCCAAGGCTGACCTACTCGGAGTTGGCTCTGGGAAGGCTGGCAGCTTTCCACGTTGTGTCCCTACGAAATGCTCCTGCAGCCGAGGAGAGACAAAAAAAACCAACAAAAAAAACCCCCAAAAACCCAAACCAAACCCCCAAATTAATAATTGGGCAGGCTAGGAAAGAGGGGAAAGTAAGTTGCCTCAGTGAGGGGAGGTTCCCCGTGGGGCTGTGGGGATGCAGACTGGTCTCTTCTGCCACGGACCTTCCCAAGCTCCTGTGCTGCTGCTTTTCTCTGCTTCCACTGCCCAAAGCTCTTAACTTTTCTGCTGTGTGAGTATACCAAAGGAACTGCTGCAACAAGGTCCTTCTTTGTGAGGAAGTCAGGTATCTCTGCTCTTCCTTGGTCACAATATGAGCCATACACAGCCAGTAACTTCTGCAGCTTCTCTATAGTGTGTTCTGGGCCTGATTTTGCCCTACGTAGTACAAGTTCTCATCCTGTTTCTTAGAAACTAGGATCAGTTCTTTGCATGGACCCCCTCAGGTAAATTTCCGCTCTCTTTGGTTTCGAGCTTAAGTTATAAACTTCTGTCAATTGTTTAGCAAATAAAGACAGTCAAGTGGAGGTGTGCAGGGGCTTTCAGTAGTTGAGAATAAAAGTTTGGGGTTTTTTTTTTCCTTACGTAAGGTCTGTTTGCATGCTATCCAGAGTGATAGTCTGCTAAAATAGTATGACATTTTTTCTTCATAAAATAATAACTGTGTTCTGTTACATTGAAAACTATGACACATGATTTCTAATACTGAGACTAAAACAATGTTACCCATTTTCATTGTGCCTCACTTGATTTTGCTGTACTATAATAATCTATGGATTGAGCCTATTTGTTGACTAAATGATAGATCGGTGGCTTGTACAAATACTCTTTTTTGTGGACATCCTTGCCTGCTGCCTAATGC